TTCTCCTCAAAATCTGTGTTCTATTGCTCTTCCATCACTCTTTCTTCTACATCTTCTTCACTTTCTCTTCTCATCGAACCTAAAATCTCTTGGTGATCAAGACTGAATAACAGTCTTGAAAACCTACAGGGAGGTTTGGAATTAGGAATATTGAGAGCAGAAATATGGCCTGAATGGGAAAATGGTTGTGAAGATTTCCTATTGAAGAAGAGAAGTAATGGGTGAAGATGGTGAAGAGTATTCATGGTCTCTCAGCTAATGGATGAGATTCCGGAACATTGGCTCAGGCTTCTTGGGCTTCTCCTTGGAAATATATCAATGCAATCTTGCCTTCCTTTATTTCATTCATCAGGTGTGAGGTTTGTAATGTGGAACTAGTCAAATTTTGGTAACACACTTGGGTTGAGGATTCCCCTTTGAAAGGCCAATTTCCCTCACTTTATGCCCTTTCTAACTTCAAGAATCAGTATGTTTCCTCTTTTTCTATCCATTGTAACTCACATTTTAGGCTGGACTAGGATTTGGGCTTTAAAAGGGGGTTAGGGAAAATGATTTGAATAAGATGGTTGATCTTATCAATGTTCTCTCTGGGGTTTTTGTGGACCCATTGAGTACTGACCATAGGATTTGGACCTTCTCCCCGTCTTGTTACATTTCTGTTGCTTCATTTTTTAAGGTCTTATCCAATCCCCTCCCATAGCAGGTCCTTCCTTTCCAGTCAAAGAAATCTGGTGCCAACCTATTCCTCCTGGAATTGGGGTGTTCTATTGGGAAGTCTTTTTGGGAAAAATCAATATCTGTGACTTGCTTCAAAGAAAAAGACCAATTCAGTGTCTATCTCCTCACTGGTGTGTGCTATGCAAAACCAACGGTTAGAATTGCCATCACTTATTAATCTCCTGTTCTTTCTCTTCTTGCATTTGGGTTTGGTTTTCTTCTTTGTCTAGGTGCAGGTGGACTCCCCCGGCTAATGTGCAAGGAATTTTTGCTCCTACCTTTTTCAGTTTGCCAAAGAAGAGGGGTATGATGTTGTGAAAATGCACAAGAGCTACCACATGCTGAGTATTTGGGAGGAAAGGAATCTTAGAATATTTTCAGGGAAAGAAAGAAGCAAAACTGATATTATTGATAACATCATGATCAAGGTGGCTCATTGGGTGAAGACCATGGATCTTTTTTCCTCATTCTCAGTAGATGGCATCATGCTCAATCAGAAAGTGGTGGATGATTTGGATCAAAAAAAAAACAGTGGTGGATGATTCAGCTCCTACTAAAACACACTCACTACAGCTAGTGGACCCCTCCGAAGAGAGGTTTTATCAAATTAAATTTTGACAGGAGTTGTTTGGGTAACCCAGGTGTTTCTGGAATAGGAGTTTTCAGGGATGAAATTGGGAAAGTGGTAACTTTATACTCAGGGCCAATTGGGGAAGGAGATTCTCTACAAGCTGAGATATTAGCAGTGGTGGAAGGAATACAAAATGCAGTTTCTATCCAAGCTAAGAAGCTGATAAGAGAGGGAGATTCAAAATTGGTGGTGAACTAGCTGCAAAATAAAGAACCGAGTCACTGGATGTATAATAATGAAAAGAAAAAGATTAAGGGGTTAATACAAGACATGGAGGTGAGAGCACAGTGAGCAAAGAGAAGTGCAAATTCATTTGCTGACACTCTCACGAGACAAGAGACAATTAGATCTCAACACTTTTGGGCTCAGCTGTAACTAAAGTTTTTCTAAAAGTAATTGTAGTTGGGGAGAGATAAAAGGGGTTATCTCTCACTGTTCAGCTATTGTACTCACCTTAATGTACCTGTTTTAATGTTTTTTAATGAAAATTTCAGTTATTGATCAAAATAAAAATAATACTCACTCTGGATACTCATGTTTCTGTATAAGATATTGGTGAAGCTTTTGTATATATCCCCATTGATATTTTCTAAGTTTAATAATAATAATAATAAGTAGAAAAGAATGAATGAATATTTAAGGATATAGAATTAGATGGAAAGACATAGGGCTGTCTCCCAAAGAATTAATAAAGGAGAATCAACAAGACCTGAAAACAAGATAAAGATCAAGTACTTATTGAGAAAGATACTAGAAACATAAAACCCTAACGACAAAATTTGTTTCTTTTATCTTGTTTCTCTTTTATTTTCTTGCATATATGGTTCAAACAACTGGAGACCTAAAACTATGTATTGGTAAAACGAGAAATATCACAACAGATCATTATATGATGCATCTTTATTTTACTGCAATCTGAAAAATGACTTGTATTTCCAATATAAAGAGCATGCAGCAAGTTAAATCTAAATATGCATAATGACAAACAACTTAGCAATTAAATAAATCATACTTATCTATTACAAAAGCCATAAATTGCATGAGTTCACAATGAATGAAATTAATGAAAAGCATGAATAAGCTTTCTAACTAGAAGCTAGATGAGGAAAAGAAAAAGAATCAATGCAGACAGCTATTGCTAATTGAATATTCACCTCTAAGTTGTCGCAACAAAATGCTCAATCAAAAGCTTTCTCTCTTCACTTTGTCACAATCCTTCGTAATTCTCGTAGGTGATGAGCTATCTCCTGAATGAATTGCAAGCCTTCATCTCCATTTTGAAGTGAACTAATGGTGTATTTGAGGAAGTTGTGATCTGCCTCCACTGCTTCCAACCTGTTATTCAGGTTGGAAACTTCATTCCTCAGAACAACTAAATTGGTTTCCCTACTGGCAATGGAGGAATCTTCCTCAACAGAACCAAAATTATGATCTCCTTTACTACCAAGCACAGAATCCCTGATAGAGGGACTAGACCTTTCTTGAGCAGGAGGGCTTTCTCTAAATAAAGATTGATCTTTCTGGATTGATGAATTGTCTTCTAGTTGGATATTTCCTTGACTTACCTGCTCACAATGAAGCTTTTCCCGAATATGTGTTTCTTTCCCCGAATATCCACCATTAGACATGTCAACATGAACTCCATTATTAGAGAATAGATACAATTTCTTCTCCAGCTTCTTCAAGCATTGAGATATGTACAACTTTTCATCTTCAAAATCTAACGGAGAATCCTTGGCAATGCCAATACTGTTATCTCCACAGACCAAATCAGTTCCTCCAGTACTATTTCCACCTTCACATTTCTTATTTAAAGTTGAGTTACAAGAAATGCCGGTGCTTTTCTGTATGCTACTTGGATCTGAATGTTCCAATTCCATGTCTCTTCTCTTTAAATCACGCATTGGCTCCTCTATTTCTTTGGCAATGCCAATACTGTTATCTCTGCAGACCACATCAGTTCCTTCAGTTTTATTATCACCTTCACATTTCTCAGTAAATGTTGAGTTACAAGAAATGCTGGTGCTATTCTGTATGCTACTTGGATGTGAATGCTCCAATTTCATGTCTCTTCCCTTTAAATCACACATTTCCTCCTGTATTTCCTCCAACATTGAATCATTTGGGTACTTTTCTTTATAATATTCAAGCTCTGCTTCCAGATCTTGTATATCTTTCTCCCTTTCAGCAAGAAGGTCATTTGCCTTCTGCAGTGCTTCCATGTCATATTCTGATTGCTCTTCCATCATACGTAGGTATTGCAAAGCCTCCATGTGAAGTGATGCTTTCTCCTCTTGCAACCTAGTAATCATAGCCAATGAATGATTTGCAGCCACTGCAGAAGCATTTCTTTCCTCTTCCAGTTCCTTATACAAGGCAGCCATACATTTCCGGTAACACTCAGACTGTCGTTTCAAGCGATCAACAATGCTTTCAACTTCAGTTTCACTGGCAGTGCTTTCATCCCATGAGTCAGTACCACACTCATTTTTCTCAGTTAAGCTCTTCTTTGGAAGTAGTTGTGGTACTACAGAAGCATCTGAAATCTTCAACTCGTCACCAAATCCATATGCTCGAGGACTCACATCGTTTAATGCTAGCTCAAGTCCTCGAGCATTAGAAACTTGTGATAATGGTACCTTGAGATCTTCTCTTGACGAATACTTACTGTCAAGTTGTTCTGAAAGCATACCAGTGGCGTGACTTCCCCTGTTATTAATGGCCAACTTGTAAGCATCATTAAGATCCATTTGACTGGGTGTTGTTGAACCAAGATCATTTAAAACCTGGTCTTCTTTTAAATCAGATGTAGTAGCTATAGTCAGCATACTTTTTGGCTTACAGGCTCCCATGTTCTCTGTAATAGTAGTTCCAACATGACTAGTTCCAGTAGCATCTACTGCAAGATGCCATTTTATACAAAAAAAAAGGAGAAACTTTAAATGTCAATGCAGTGGGGATGAAGATGGATAGAGAGAAAGAATGAAATCACATAGACTTACAGTTCTTTCTTGGTACACAAATAGGAGCTTCTGCAGAATTGGATGATGCAGAAATATCATTTATTGAGGTAAGCTCAGGAGTTGCAGAAGGATTGGCCTTCTGTTTACCTTGATGCCAGTTAAGCTCCATACAATGACCAAAAGCAATAGTAGATGCCAAAGATGTCACATTGCTGTACTCATCAAGTTGCATGCATGGAACTAAAAGGAAAGGTTCGGGTGTAGAAGCCTGATGGCTCAGCTTCTCTGGGGTCAAATCAACTGGTGCACTTTCGGGTATCATCTCTATACAATTGAACAAGAACTCCAATCGTGAAGATAGAGCTACAATCTCTTCCTTGAGATTATTGATTTCATGAGCCATGTAATTTTCTTCACATTGCATAGGTGGAACTAAAAGTGAAGGCTCAGGTGAAGAACCTCGATGGATCAGCTTCTCAGGGATAAAGTCATTAGATGAAGTCTTGGGTACCATCGCAGAAAACATAATGGGAGTATCCAGCTGTGCACGTTGTGTAACAAAATCTTGCTTGAGATCTTCTGTTTTACAAACAAGAGCATTCCTCTCATCATCATCAGAGAAAGGGAATTCTGACTCCGAATCAGATGTGATCTTAAGCTTAGAATATTCTACATGTGATGAAGGATCAAAACCACAACTCCCCAGATGAGAAGTCATCACTGCACCTGATGACTTCTCCCTTCTCTTCCTTAAGATGTCCCAGTCAGGCAAGTTACCATGTCCAACTGAATATCGCAAAGAAGCATAATCTGCAACCCTGCAACAAGAACAGTGTTCGGTATTCAAAGAAGCATTCTTGAGCTCCTTAAGTAGCTGCTCCCCATCAATACAATGTTCAAGATCCACTCCTAGCTTTCCCATCAACAGCCTGCATGTTTCAGATTTGTACTTATTTGTAGCAAGAGAAAGGAGGCAACTTTCACAAATTCCATGAACATCAACAAGCTTATCATGAATGTGACAAAGAATCAATGATGAGATCTCCAACTTATGTTTACCACAAAATAAATCTTTATAGGATGCAGGGTTCTCATTGCCAATGACATGATCGATCCTCGAACATAATAAACATGGGGTTGGCAATTCATAGTAACGTGCAAATTTTGTTGACAAGTATGAGATAGCCCCATTGATAAATAACAGAAATATCAACAACCATTCCTGAACAGCAGAAGCCAAAACAGACGTGAAACTACGGGGATCCCTTTTAACTTTAACAGGTATCTTCCTTGTAGCCATGCCCACCATAATTACTTAAGCTACAGTAGCTCCCCTAGATGGGCAAGTCATAAAACAATTTCAGCGTCCAGAAGAAAAGAAGCTCCAATCCTCCAAAATTGAAAACGAAAATGCAGCCCCCAGCTCAAAACTGTGAGCACCAAGAATCCAGAATCAACATACCAAACCAAAAGAAACTAAATAAAACTAAACAAATTAATACATGCAAAACGGGGAGGGGGAAGGGGACTGGGGGAGGACAAAACTACAAAATGAACAAAAGAAACTCGAAACAGAAGGCGAATTAAGTAAAGTCAGAGCAAAATGTGGAAGAAATCAAAAACTCAAAACAGAACGCAATTGTGCAATGTAACACCAAAGCTTTCAATTAACTACTAAATCAGAGAAGAAACAATGAATTCAATCACGAAATCGGAAACCAAGAAGCAAATTACGATCAAAATATACAGAAAACAAAGCAACGAGAAGAATTAGAACCAAAGCCCTGACCTGTCCATTCGATAAACAGAACCAACCCAAAGATTCAATTCGGGCTCATATCATCGGCATTGTGTGACGGAACGGATAACCGGTTCGTGGGAATTTCGAATACGAAAAGGACAAAAATCCCAACCGAAAGAACGAATTTTTACGACGGATCTGCACTTGGTTTCCAATAGAAGAAACGACAAACGCCGACAAGAAAAAACTGAAAAGTCAGCTGCAACTACAGATACCGACAAAAACCCAAAGGCGAAAATAACTGAACCACGGGTCCCACACTACATATATTTCGCAATCATCATCATCATCGCCTAAGCCCAATCCCAACTATCTGGGGTCGGCTGCTTGAATCCTGTTTCGTTCTCCATTTCGTTCCGTTTAGTGCTATATCCATTGGCCATTGCTAGCAATCAGAGGAAAATACAAATTGAAAAAAAAAAAGATTTTTCATAAAAACATCAGAAATGAGTGGAAGGTGAATCGTCTACCTCTGCAACATGATGAAGATCAAAAAGAGTGGAATAAAGGATGGCAATTCGAGTATAACAATATCGAATAATAACAAATTCTCAATTGTTTTTGTTTTCATTTGTTTTCATTTTGGTTTTGAAAAATAAAAATAGATTGATTTTGTTTAAAAAACAGAAACCCAACTATGATACAAGATACATGATTTTGAAAAAAAAAATATAAAAAATCAAAATAATGGTTTTTAACATAAAAATATTCAAAAACAATGTTTTTTTTTTCAAACTGAAGGAAAAAATACAAAACGTTCAACGGTTCATGCATATACAGGGATGTCAACAGGTCGGGTTCGGCATAAGCTTGCTCAACCCGAATCCGACTCAGGGCAACATCAACCTAAACCCGACCCGCCCCAACTGAGCGTGGGAGAGAGGGGTGGCAACGAGCTGAGCTCTTCACGAGCTATTCGAGCTCGGTTCGTGAAAAGTTCAGTTTGGCTCGGTTTCAACCGAGCTCAAGCCTAATTCATAGGCTCAATTAAGAAACGAGCCAAGCTCGAGCCTAATAGAACTCAGCTCGTGAGGCTCGCGAGTCGGCTCGAATGTATATATATATATATATATATATATATTTATAATTCTTAATTTTTTATTTTTATAAAACATTTTTCTCAAAATCAAGCTCGAGCCAAGCCAAGCTCGAACTTACGAATTTTTTACTTAAGTCGAGCTCAAATTCAAAGTTCTAACTCGAATCTTATACTATTCAACTCGCTTCAGCTCAAATCCACCCTTAGGAGAGGTATCGAACCCTCCCCCGCGTCATATATTACACTTATAGTACACTATACACATGTACTTGTATCATGTGGCAAAACTTTGTCGGTTAGGCGCCAACAGCATTTTGGGAATGCCACATTATCATGAGTGGGCAAATTAGAAATTGCCTCCTATTTTATTTTGATGAAAATAAAATATATAGGAGTGGAAAGGTGAATATGTCCACCCTAAAAATGCTCTCAAGAGCATAAACTATTAGATAGTAGGATTTGTAGGGACCTACAACCCTCATATATATATTTTTTTTAAACTACCCTAGATTTTATTAATGTATATCTACCAAAAAATGCATATATAACAAAAATATGTTTTTGTATTTTTGTTTTAAAAATCTCTGTTTTTTAAACCAGACAACTAGCTAGTTATATTGGGTAACCTTAGATGGGTGATTTATTGGGTAATCTATTGTTTGTATTCAAAAGAAATTAGAAATTTTTGAAACCTATATCCCCTAAGATCATAGAATGAAGAAACTATGAGAGTTCCTTGAAATTGGATGATAAATTTGTTGGGGATGGAGAAACTCGATACCGATACTTTGATCTTTTGTTTGAATCACTCCAACCTCATGTTTTCAGTATAAAGGCATAATGTATTAGTCTGTAATGCATTGCATCGGGTCAATATGCACGACTGGAAGGATACCTCCAATATAGCATATCTCGTATCAGGTAGGGACAATACCAATACGAAAATGCTCCATATCATATTGATATTTAAATCTTTAGTCTTAAGGTCTTTAGTCATGATGTTATTCTTGCATAAATTTATTAGAAAATTTGGATTGAAATGGGATATAATATCTTTGGTTTTGTGTGTAAATATTCCCAAAACAAAAGAAATTCTTAAAAGATTAATTCAAACATTTATTGTCTTCATTCTCAAAAAACTTAAATCCTTCTATTGACAATGATTATAGACCTGTAAACCTATGTAATGCAATTTATAAATTCAGTGTTAAGCTGATTGCTAATATGATTGAGGGATCATAAACAAATGTATCTCTCTCTATCAATTTGTCTTTATACTTAGAAGATAATTAATTGATAATGTGGCCATTGCACATAAGATCTTGCACCACATGAAGCATAAAAAGAGGGGTTTTGGTATTATGACCCTAAAATATGGCATGTCCCTACAATAGGCTTGAATAAGATTAATTGATATGTATTTTAAGAGCCTTAGGGTCTATTTGATTGCTGAGAAAGGAATGAGAAAAAAGAATATTCTCGAATTATTCTTTCTATCTTGTGTTTGTTTACTGGTAAACAGTATTTTGTGATGAGAAACAAGAGGGACGCGGGATCCCAAAATTAAGTGAGCGGGGTCGCACCAAAACAATGCGACCCCGGTGAGAAAAGAAAAAGCTAAGAAAATTTTTCGGGCAATTACTGGAGGAGCTCTGAAGACCAACATTACCACCCTCGGTCCTCTTGTCCTCCCAATTAGTGAGCAGCTTCTCTTCTTTGCAACTATAGTGGCAAAGAAGTTGTTCAATGCAAAGGTGAACAAATAAGCAACCTGATCATCCATGCCAGGGAAAATAGCTCTGAGATGATTGAGCAGAGGCATAGAATCGGCCGACGAAGGAGACGACGACAAGGCAGCAGAGATGGGCCTATGGGGAGAGAATCGAATTGGAGAAGTAGAAGAGGAGCAACGGATTCTCTTAGAAGAAGAAACAGGGGTCGTTGTTGGCAAGTCCTCAAAGAAAGATCTCTTGCCGCACACTATGGCAAACATGTTGCTATACTGCTCATCTTCTGAACTCGCAGCGAATCCTTCGCTCCCCCCCCCCCCCTTATAACCGTCTCCCCTCGCCATGCAGATTCGCTCCGACTAAGGAGTGGTTGTCAAACATACCTAAATGACCTTACTCAATTAGGTTTTTTATTCTTATTAATTATGAGAGTATAGAAGCTAATCTTCATTTTCTCTTGTTTGTTCATTGAGCAATGTTAAGCATATAGGTGGAAAAAACATGTTTTTTTAGTTTGAATAGTATGTTGAATACCATGGACCTACTTGATTTTGTGGGACTCATTGTATTGTCATTTTTTTTTCTTTCAAATAATGGCTCATATTATGAATTAGATACATGTTGTTCAAGCACTTTTTTCAATGACTGGTTTAACCAACCTATAATCTTAGCATTCGTCTCATTCATTTTGGTTGTTTGATAGAAACTTTCATTTTTCTAGTATGCACAAATTCTCATCCATAAATTGGTTTTATTGGTTGATCCTCAATCCTAACTATTGGAATCTAAAAGTAGAATTAAAATTAAGAAACAAATTTCAAATAGATCCACAAGAAACATAGTATAAATGTGTAATAAGCTTAGTATGATAAGATTCAACTTTTGAATTAACAAATCTACTTATTATTGGATGCTAAGCTTAGTATGATAAGCTTAGTATGTTAAGAGTCCCAATTTAGCTAAACTTGTAGGGGTGCAATTCCAAGAATTCACACTACATCAAGCTTGGGCTTTCAAGCTAGGCTTGTTTAAATTTTAATAAGTTTCCATCTTAGCCACAATAGAGTGGCTATCATTCAGTTTTTCTATCTTTTATGTCATAAATGGACTTTTCTTTTTGTCATCTTGGTGAATGATTTTGTTTATAATTATAATCCTCATGTTGTTTTGGATAACACTACTAATAACATGCATAGGTCCTATTTGATGTGATATCTTGATTTTTAGATTTAATTCCTTACTTGGCAAACTCCCTAGTGCCAAATGTATTAACAAAGGTTAGACTAATGGACAAATGGTTAAGTGTAGCGTGATTAAATAGTACAAAAGTATACAATTTACATCTCCACCCAATCAATTTGAGATGTCAAATGTATAAGTGTAGCTTAGAACAAGGAAAGATAGTCATAAAAGGTGAGAATGATTTTAAAACATTTTGTTGTCAACTTCTAAAATGGAACTAAAAATCCAACTATAAAAAATAAGGTGAACAGAGTCTTATGACATTTATATGATACTTAAGAGCTTAAATATGAAGTCTTTAGGAGAAAATAAACTTGTAAACTATACTCAAGTAATTTATCATAGTTACCAAAATAAGGTGGATTTGGTACAACTAGCTTCAAAACAATTAAAGCTAATTTCCTCAATAAATTGTTACTCTATTAAAGTTGAGAATTGAGATTGCATTTCTTGAATTTCTTATTGTTTCTTATGAAGAATGCTGGTTGCTGCATAGCAATGCAGCTACTTATTGTATAATATTATGATTTGTACTATCATATAGTTCATAAATCCATAGGGTGTGTTCCAACTTGTGATATCCTATTGCTTTTATTAAATGGCATGCTAAAGCAAATGATGGATTTCTTCTAAATGAGTTGTTGTGATTAATTAAAATACTCACATAGTCTTCTAGTTAGAACTGCCATTTATTTCTATTAAGCTCAAAGTGTTCTTGCATGATTTTGTTTCAACTTTTATCAATATAGGTGGTATATCTACATAGTGAATTTGGAGATAAGCCACTTTCCCTATCTTTTGTTTTCAACAAAATTTATTGTTTCTAGGATTTTAACTTCATTTTTTTTTTGTTTTGGATCATGCATTATTAAACTTCATCACTTCCTATTTTGGACCATCTAGGCATCAATTGTTATAACATTCATTGAAGCATTTCCTACTTTTTTGTACTAATGATGGTTACATCTCTTCTCCATGTTATGGTTTGGGCCCAAAAATCAAGAAATGAGTGGGTTAAGGTTGGGGATAAAAATAACAAGTTTTTCCACACTTCAGCTACTATAAGAAAATCTATAAATAGAATTACTGCTATTAAAAATGGTGAGGGTGAAAGAAAAGAAGATCAAGAGGGAATATCATGTTTCTTTAATGATAAATTTAAGCAGAGATTTCAAACAGAAAGAACAAGAAGAACTGAGGAATTTATTGAGGAGATCAATATCTGTATAAATGAGGATCAAAAGAAATCAATTGTTAGGGAGGTCATTGAAGGGGAAATCGTTGAGGCTCTTAAATCAATCAAAGACCTTAAAGCTCCTAGACCGGATGGTTTTAATGCCTTGTTTCTCAACAAATTCTGGGACATCACAAAAGATTTCATATGTAAAGCTGCAAGGGCTTTCTTCAATTCTGGGAAATTGTGTTGAATATAACAAGACATTTATAACCCTTATCCCAAAAAATGTAAATAATTATAGTTCCATAAATTTGTGCAATGTCAGCTACAAAATTATTTAAAAAAATCTTGTAAACAGAATTAAGACTTTTTTTGGATAATATTATATCTCCCTATCAAAGTGCCTTGAAATGTTACATACAATAAGAAAAAAGAAAGGAAAAAATGGTATGCTTGTTGCCTTAACATGGAAAAAGCATATGATAGACTAGAATGGGAATTCACTGAGAAAGTCTTGAGGAAAATTGGATTTCATGAGAAGTGGATAAGTTGCGCTATGGAATGTATAGAAAAATGTACCATATCAAATTTTAATAAACAGAAGTCCCTCTAGGGAATTTACCCCTTCTAGAGGGATCAGACAAGGGGATCCTCTATCTCCCTATATTTTTGTTCTTTGCGCTGAAGTGTTAGCAAAGAAGCTTGAAAAAGAATTTCTAGATGAGAAAAACCCAATTGATTGTAAGGTTGCCAAACGAAGTCCAAAAATACCAATTTTACAATTTGTAGATGATTATTCAATATTCATCGAGACCTAAATTACAGGATATTTGAAAATAAAAGACATTCTCACTAAGTTTGTTGAGGCTTCTGGACAACGCCCAAACTTTTCAAAATCTATGCTCCAATTTTCAAAAAATACACCAATTAGATTCCAAAAAATCTTAGCAAAATTTTGAGGATCCCAATCCAAGAAAAGTCTAATATTTATTTGGGAGCCCCCATATAAATGGTAAAGTTTCAAAGAATAAATTCTTGAATCTCAAGGAAAGGGTAAATAACAAACTAGCACGTTGGGAAGAAACACTTTATCCTTGACAGGTAGAACGACCATTCTAAATGCTACAACGAATACGATGCCGCAATTCCTCAAGAATTCTTAAGCTTCCCCAAAATAAGTCAAAGGAACTTGACAAAAATCCTGTGAAAAAAAAAACATTCATTTGATCGGTTAGAATAAGGTGTGTGCTCCAAAATGTTGGGGACTGGAGGTTTGGGGCTAAAAAACATTCAATGGGTTAATGAAGCTAACTTAGCAAAGTTGGGATGGGAAATATTAGTAAAGAGTGATAACCTTTGGGTTAAAATTATTACAACAAAGTATCTTCAGAAAGAGGACTTTTTGAATGTTAAGGGAGAGAAATGTATATCATGGGCTTAGAGAGGAATCCTTAAGGGGAGAAATTTCCTTCAAAAAGGGTTAGGTTGGGAAATAAACAATGCCAAATCTATTAGATTTGGAAAGATATATGGGTAGGTGATTCCTCCTTGGAAAAAGTTATTCCACTTGATATGATTGAAAATGATAATCTCCCTATTAGTGAGGTTATTGATTAGAATAAGGGTGTGTGGATAGAAAATAGAATTTGTAGCTTGGTTACTTTGAATAATTGGGGGAAAATAAAATCAATCTTTATCCCCCCTCAAACCCAAAAGAAGATAAATTAGTTTGGAGACTTAACTATAATGGGAAATTCTCAATTAAGTCTGCATATAAATTAAAATGTAGTATGTCTCTTCATGAAGAGTTGAACTCAAAGTGGAACTTGACTGTTTGGAATGTAAATTGTCCCCCAAAATTGAAAACTTTTCTTTATCTTTTTCTAAATAAAAGACTCCCAACAAAAATGTTCATTCAAAATAGAGGCTTAAATGTTGATGGAAAAATATAATTTTTGTGGAGATAACGAGGATGTGGATCATATTTTTAAGAATTGTATAGTTGCTAAAGAGAAAACCGTGCATTCTTAATATGGTATATATGGAAAAATAGAAACAAAAAATCTTTTAATAATGTGTCAACCCCTATTCAAGTGGTGATTGATAGAGCTCTCTCGTCCTTTTCGGAATATTATGAAATTAATATGAAGCCTAATGGAGTTTATTCCCATAAGTTGTGGAAGTATGTTGTTTGGCAACCTCCAAAAGTTGGTACTATCAAAATAAATTTTGACGCGTCCCGACTAAACAATGGGATGTGCTCAGTTGCAGCCATAGCTAGGAATTTTTTGGGTGAGGTGGTAGATTACAAGGCTTACTACTTAGGTTCTTTAACCATTAACTTGACAGAAGCGTGGACTGCATGGGAGGCCCACAATCTGGCAGTGGATTTCCCAAACTATTCCATCATTATTGAAGGCGACTCTTTACTTGTGATATCCTGTCTGAAGCGGCTCATCGATCCCCTGGAATTTGCAGAACATCATTGAGGAGTGTTTGGAATTGAAGAATTGAGAAAATGAAGAATTTGTCCAGGGTACAATAAGTCTCAATCTCAGTGACCTTCCATGGAGTTTAGCTTTTATTTGTATGTCAAATTTGTGGGGATGTGCTACCCCCTGCCTTGTGTAGCCTCTTTCGGTTTCTATAGAAAAAGGCTTAACTTGAGTCAGAATCTGTATGCTCCCTTCAATGCATAATATTCACACGGTAGAACTCAATGGTTCGTTTGGTTCCTTAAAGATACTTCCCTTCCCATCCGTTTTTTGGGAACCAAATGAACCATAATGGTCCTTTTGGTTGTTGATAAATAGTGCGATGAGAAGGGATGGGATGAGAGAGAAAAATTTTATTTTCTCATTTTTGGTCACTATGTTTGTTTGGTGAGACCCACTATCTCTAGCATTTGGTTGATGATAGCTAGCACATCTGCAAGAGAAGTTTATGTTGTTAGGACAAATAAATTATGAAAAAAAGATTAAATTCATGTTAGATCTATAACAAAACACTTTCGGTTTAGTAGATCTATACAATGAATAGGGGTTTATAGCAATAAACAAATAAAAGGGTTTTAGATCTGGCAACCCAATAACAAAGGGTTAACAAATGAAGAAGATATGAGAAGAAGATGAGGATGAAAACTGACCTTTGTAAAAGATGAGGATGAGAACTACAGTCTCCAGGGACAAACCCGTGCTCCTTGTTTGCTAAGCACCTGAAATACATGGAAGGAAAAACATTTTTGATAAAAATGCAAAAAAAAAAATAGTGAATGATGTATGAAACGTAATCCTGTCTCCTTGCCGTCTGAGAAAACGAAGACAAGGTTACCTTCATTGAAGAAAACAAAGACAATATCCTGTCTCATTGTCGTCTAAGATCTGAGATCAAAGGTGATGGAGGAAGAGAAGGGTATTTTTGGTGGAATAAAACACCAAATAGTGTGAAAAGAGATGTGAGTACTTACGGGATGCCATAAACCTTGCCACAGATAAAAGATAAGGTGGTCAGAGTTCGTACCATTGCTGAGGTGAGAGATGAGAACAGTCCACCCTCATCAAAATTTTTATTCACTCATCCTGTAACTTTAGTTTCTCACTAGGGTTGCACCTATTTGATGAGACTCCCACATTCCTTATTTTAAGAATAATAATCTCATCTCATATATCATCATATCTCTCGAAAGAAAGACGAGAAAATAGGAATATTGGGCGAATATTCATATTTTCTCATCCACGCGAACCAAACGGACTGTAAATGAATTCCGATATATAAATTCGGAGATATTCCCAGTGCACGGTTGTATAAGGCTGTGAACATGATTAAAGACATACCGTCAATGTACTGTTGTAGTATCTTCTGGGTAGATGTGGGTTGGAGATCCAAGCTCATCCTTGAGGTCAGAGCATTCTTCTACGTGTCTAACGGCTCTTTGTAGGGAAGATTCTAATCCAACGGAAAATATGTAACTCTACAAAGGATCCAATGCTTCGGAAAGCATGCATTCTTTGTACAATCGGCATCGGCATCCCATGAACCCGAGCAGATGGCGCCCTGGCCGACCTCTGTCTCTTAACGTTACCGAAACAGAACTCGTTTCTTGTCATCGAACGTGAAGCATTTTGGTATCGTTGGAGGAACAGAGATCGGAACTGAGTTTCTGACCCATGGGTCTTCATAGAAGATTGATGCCCATAAGCCGGTTGTTGGGGTCCTACACTGTAAATCATACTGTGAGCAATCTCCTTTCTTATTCTTTTTCCAGACTTTTCAAATTCTCGTTACTTTCGCTGGCAAAGATTGACGGTTATCTCAACGGTTGCAAATATGTAGAGAGTGGGAGCTGTCCGAGGGTTAGCTAAGTTGAATGAGAAGAAGGTTGGTGCCAAAGCAAATCTCCTTGATGGGGTTAAGGATATTATAGCCGTTGCTTCTGGTAAAGGTGGCGTTGGAAAGTCTACCACTGCAGGTGATATGGGATTTCCTTTTCTTTTTTCCTTTAATTGGGTTTTTGCATTTTGGGATTTGGAATATGTTTAAATGATTGTTTTTGAGCCCTTGAAACAAATTTGATAATTCTAAGTTTATTATCTCGATTTGCTGCTTAAGGGTTTTTGTTGAATAGTATGGTGAAATTTGGTCATGTTTGATGCAATGGGTTGGTTCTAAGTTAGTTAATGATTGCTGATTTTACAAAACAAGCTCTTCTTTAGCTTTCTTGATTATTTATTTATTTATTTTTTATGTGTTGATTTCCTGTTGAATGGATAATCTTCCCTAGTAGTAGTAAGAGTAAAGTTAAAGCCGTTACATAATTCAAGCAAAAGGTTTTAAATTATCAGACACAGCTGCTTGAATCCATGGTACTTGCATACATACCATGCATCGATGTTGCCTTACAGATGCATATACATATGCCTGTAAATTTGCACTAATTCTTTTTTTGTTGGATTCTAAGATGCTATTTGTGTGTTTTGCAGTTAATTTGGCTGTTTCCCTAGCTAAGACTTGTCAACTCAAGGTGGGTTTGCTAGACGCTGATGTGTATGGGCCATCTATTCCTACCATGATGAAGGTTCATGCAAAGCCAGAAGTAAACGAAGGTGATAGTCTTTTTTGCATTTTTGTTGCTACCTTTCATTAGCCACATTTCCATGTGTTGCCTTGCTAGGATTGGAAACATATCTGTTGATTGGGCAGGTACTGTTTGCACTTTGCTACTTGAGAGTTAAAAAATATATAAGAGGAAGGTTACATTATATTTTATTATCATGGAATTACTGTAAGCTTCAATTTCCTTGAAGGAACAGGTTGGGCTAACTAATCTGATTAGATAGTTAAGGGAAGATGTTTCTTTTCTCTGGTGGTTCATATCCTAGTAGATTATAGAGATGATAATTGGTAAGGTGAAGAAACTGCAGTTTACCCCCCCGCCCCCCATTTTTCATAATTGTTTGTTAATTTTGATAGACAACTAAGCAGATGACTAAGATGATCTACAAATTGAATACTGGTAAGAATAATACCAATTTTAACATCTAAGTTGAAGCATCATTAATTTCCCATAACTAGCACAATGCCTTCTGAGTAAGTTTTATCTTGGGACTTCTCAGTGTTTGTTGTTTCAGGTATGCTTGCATTTATTGGTTGGTTTTTAATTCAGAAATAAAAATAGTCATTCCCCTCAGATTGCACCATATAGTGCAAGAAACTCACTAGAAGTGATGCTTCCTAGCTTTGACTGGCGTATAGATCGTGACTCATTAGGTGTTTTTCTTACTTTGGTGCTTATAGTTTTCTCATATTTCTCATCATCTTGGGTAGCTTTCTTCTTTTAATTTGCTGCAATAGTTGGAATACTAAAATTAGATTTGTTCTCTTTGTGTGGAGGTTACAAAATAAGTAGGACTAAAACAGAACAATGATATGTAAATTTAACAACAATAGGAATGCAAATCAGGGTATACTTAGGCTTGGAGACGAAGAGATAACTCAATGTGGCCTTTTCATTTAGCAAAAAAAAAAAAAAAGTGACCATTTCTAGTACCTTGGTCCGATAATTCATACAAGGGAGAGTTCGAGGAGGATGTTGGCCATAGAATTAGAGCAGAATGGGCAAAACAGAGATGCATTTAGAGTTGTATGTGATAGGCAATACCACTTAGATTAAAAGGAAAATTCTATAAAATTGTTGCAAGGCCAGCTGTACTGTACGGAGCAGAGTATGGGGCAGTTAAGAAACAAAATGCCTAAAAAATGAGTGTTGAGGAAGAGGAAATCAGAAGAGTTATTTTTCTCTATGGATAGATCTAAGGCTCCAGGACCTGATGGTTTTTGGCAAAGGTGCTCTCTTTGAGGATCAAAGCAGTTCTTCCTCCTCTCATTAATCATGCCCAAGGAGCCTTTATACAAGACAGACAGATTATAGATCAGATCCTTGTCGCAAATGAATGTGTGGAGGAGATAAGGAGATCAGGTAATCGGAGTTTTATATGCAAATTGGACCTAGAGAAGGCTTATGATTTAGTGGATTGGAGCTTCCTACTAGAGGTTTTAAGGAGATGTTGTTTTGGGGATAAATGGTGTAATTGGGTAAGTGGCTGCTTGACAACTTGCCACTATTTATTTTTAGTCAATGGAGTGGTAAAGGATTTCTTTTCAGCTAGTAGAGGCCTAAGACAAGGTGATCCACTCTCACCTTTCCTATTCACCCTTGTTGCTGATGTGCTTAGTAGAATGACCTCAAAAGTAGATGGGGAAGACTTGGGGCTGGATATTAGGTAGAAGGAGCATTCCGGTGACCCTCCAATTTGCTGGTGATGTAATTATCTTTTGTGGAGGGAGTGATCTGAGAAGGGTGAGAAATCTTAAGAATCTAATAAATTTCTTTGAGAGTGCCTCCAACTTGATGATCATTTTTGGAAAAAGCTGTGTGGTTGGAATAAATTTGGAGGATTGGGAGGTAGAGTCTATTGTAGCCTTTGTTTCCACACATGTGACTCCCAGATCTATCCCAGATGCCTTGTCCAAACCAGAACGGAGGGATGCTATGATGACTGAACTAGATGCTTTGCATAAGAACAATGCTTGAGAAATTGTGGATTTGCTTGAGGGTAAGGAATCGGTTGGCTGTAAGAGGGTGTTCATTATTAAGTATCATTCTGATGGTACTGCTGAGAGATATAAGGCCCGTTTGGTTGTTAAAGGATATACTCAGCTGTATGGTATTGACCACTTAGAAACTTTTGCCCCAGTAGCCAAGATGACTTCAGTTTGAGTTTTGCTATCTTTAGCTACTGCTTTTGATTGGCCTCTTCATCAGTTTGATGTAAAGAATGCTTTTTTGAATGAGGACCTACATGAAGAGGTTTATATGTCTTTACCTTCAGGGGTGTATGGGAAGGAGATGCAAGGAAAGGTCTGTAAACTGAAGAAGTCTCTTTATAGCCTTAAGCAATCTCCTAGAGCCTGGTTTGACAGATTTCGGGCTGCTCTTGTAGCTTTGGGTACACACAGACTCAGTCGGATCACTTTGATAAAAGCTACCCTCATGAATCTACCTACCTATTATCTCTCTGTCTTTAGGATACCGTCTAGGGAAGCGAAGAAGTTGGAAAAATTGATGAGAGATTTTCTGTGGGAACCAGGAGAAGGTAAAAAAGACCATTTAATTAAGTGGGGGGTTGTGGGTAGAAGTAAAGAGGAGGGAAGAGGATTAGAGCTTGGGAATGTGCTTAAAAAGAACTCAGCTCTGTTAGAGAAGTGGTTGTGGAGATGGCCTTTGGAGCGGGATAGACTCTGGCACGAAGTAGTGAAGAGTATTCATGGATGTTCAGAGAGTGGTTGGGATGCTAGTGCATCAAGGAGGGCTAACCTAGCCACACCTTGGAAAGCAATTCACAAAGTTCTTCCGCAGTTCCTTAGCTGTGTCAAGTATGATGCTTGTTCAAGTAATTCTATTCAGTTTTGGGAGGACATTTGGGTTGGAGATCTCCCTTTGAAAGACTTTTTTCCTTCATTGTGCTCTGTTTCCTTGTATAAAAATGAGATGATCTCAAAATTCCTTCCGTCGAATTTATCCTTACCAACTTTGTCTTGGGATTTTGGTTTCCGTAGAGGATTAAGGGATGAGGAAATTGAGTGTGTCTACTCTTCTATGTCTCCTTGATAAGGTTTGGTTGGACCCCTCGAAAGCTGATAAAAGGATTTGGGCCATTCACCCCAAAGGGTCTTTTTCTTGCGGTTCCTTTTTCAAGTTCCTCTGCCAATCTCCCTCTCATCAGAGTTTCCCTTTCAAAGAAGTCTGGTGTAGGCCGGTCCCC